TTATGCCTTTTATCTTTCCTTTGAAGGTTTTGTTCTGCTCGCGGAATTATTTATACAACATTTTAATGTGAGTCGACACGTTGCTTCTGACATTGGTACTCGTTTCAGAAATTCGCCATATTACTTCGGACAAGCTGGAGAGTTTGGAAAATTAGATTCTTCAGACTATGTCCTCATATTTTTGTGGTTTTGTGGACACGAAGAGGTTTCTTATAGATATGTAGCAGACAGATTTAATGTAAGCTTGTAAATGACATATTTCTAATTAAGTAATAAAGTAATTTATCTATTGAGATTATAAAATGGCCAAATGATGAAGAAAAAGTTACAATTGAAAGTTTCTTTAGAGAAAATCAGTTTCCAGGATGTATTGGAGCAATTGACGGAATGCAGGTAAAAATTGACAAGCCTTCAGAGGATGCGGATTCGTATTTAAACCGAAAAAAATTTTATTCTATACAGGTATTATATTTTCATTAAATTTTTATGAATGCAAATAACTTATTTTTTTTAGACACAAGTTGTTTGTGATCATAGAAGAAAAATAAGAGATGTTTTTGTTGGTTTTCCGGGTTCTGTCCATGATAGCAGAGTATTTCGTGCATCTCCTTTAAGGGAGAATTTGCCAGACAAGTGTGGAAATTACTTTCTGATTGGTGACGGTGGTTCTCCATGCTTGCGTAGTTTGTTGACACCATATCGTGACAGAGGACATTTACATAGGAGACAACATAATTATAATACCAAATTATGTAAAAATCGGTATTTAATTGAACACTGTTTTGTTGAAGAGCTTACTCCGGAATTGAATTTCGCTGCAAGCATAGCCATTTGATTCTACTAGGACTTATCCAGTCTGGATCTTTAATAAGGTGTCTCGTCCCAATCTTTTTTCCTCATCTCTATGCCGTTGACCGTTTCCACGGTTCTTCCGCCTTTGAAGCCAGTTTCCCAACTCCAGGACAAGGGGGTGCCCTACCATTTACTAACTCCTCCACCCGAAGCTGTTGGCCAGTAAACGGGGGATTGCTTATACCGGCAATCATCGGTGGTCAAATATGGTCACAGGCCAACAAAATGAATCGAAAAATGCAGAATAGTATAAAACCGTTCAGCAATGAAGTTTTAGAGGATTTCTTTATTAAAGTTTCTCCTAACTAGGTTCAATATTTCTCTAACTAATTCGAACAAAGTCACCAATCTAATCACTTTTTGTTGAAACCTTTTACTAAATCTGAATTAGATTTCGCTCTCAAAAATTGCATTATTACCTCTCCAGGGATTGATAAAATCAAATACCCTATGTTAATCAACCTAACAAGAGACGCTAAAGATCTACTGTTACAGGTATTTAATGATATCATTAAAAATAACATCGTTATTGATTCATTTAAAAACACCATTGTTGTTCCTATGCTAAAGTCCTGTAAAGTTCCAAATATTGCAAATTCATACATACCAATCTCGTTACTTTCCTGTTTTTAAAACTCTAGAGAGACTCATAAAATTTAAATTGGATTGGTGGTTATAAAAAAATAATTTGCTACCAGAAAATCAGTTTGGATATAAAAGAAGCTTTGGAACACTATCAGCCGTATTCACCAAACATTCCTAAACCATCACCTAACTAGGTATTGCTTAACGTTAGGCAATACCTAGTACATTATTTGATATTCACCAACAAAAGCGTTGCTTAACTAGGAAACGCTTTGTTAGGAAGTAGTAAATCTGGCAACATTATATTTTTCGTGCGTAATGCCAACAGAATATCGGAGAATAACGAAAAACCTAACTAAATTATGGTAAAAGGTGGCCAAATACCTTACTTCTGGCAGGAAAAGAAGAATTTGTAGTTTCTAACCGCAAATAAAAAAATTTAAAAATTGTCCGTTAGGTATTATTCTCTGGTTGATGGTTGATGTAGATTGTTGTTTTATATTATTATTAAAATTTTAGGATAGTCATTAACACAGTAGTTTAGATTATTATGGACTGTGTGTGGTCCGAAAACGTTTGTTTTATTGATGTAGCCCTTTTAAGGGTTTTTTAAATAAATATACCCATTTAGAAAGACTAACCTCTTTTTGTGTCCCAGATGTTGTATTATTGGCAGAAGTGCCATCAACATCACAAGAGGTGACCACAATGGTTGATACACCATTCACAATGAGAAGGCGACCTAAAGGGGGAACTGCATCCTTAAATGAATTAAAAATTTTAACAGAAGAAAAAAAAGGGAACTTCTTGAAGAAACTATATGCAAAACTAAAGAAGATAATAGGAGGGCAGAGGAACTTCATGTTCTTAAAAAAGAAGGACATAGAAGAAAATTTGCAAATAAAACAAATACTTATCTTAAACTTAAAAAGTAAGCTCTGCTATGTTTATTGTAGTTATACAAATTTTAATGACAAAAATATGTAAACAAAAAATTTAACTAAATAAAAATAGTTTTATAGTTTTGTTTCTCCTAATATACTACAAATTGATAAAAACAACAACTAAAACTACTTATACCACACCTCATAATGAAACAAAATATTAACTTATTTAAAAGAAAAAAGTAAACTCTAATTTTATTGTAGTTATACAAATTATAATAATTTATGTTAATATACTACAAATACAAATATACTACAAATAGATTAACATAATTATTAACTTTTCAAACAAAGACTTATACTACTACATTTATATATACTACATTTACCTGTTATACAAATTACTAACAAAAACACTATAAATAGCTTAACTACTACACTCTAATTTTATATTAAACTTTATTTGTAATAATACATTTAACAAATCAATCAAAATAAGTATTCACTAACGTTCTCTCACAACTTCCCCAGCCCATTATCTATGTATTCATCAACATAAGGTAAATCCTGAGGTGGTTGTTCTTCTTTCTCAATGATACAAATATTATGTAACACAGCAAAGGCTAATATTACCTCAATGGCAGTTTCCAATTTAAGCCTTATTCCTAATGCTAGGACTGGAAATCTTCGTTTTAGAACACCATATTGGCTTTCAACAGTATTCCTGGTTCTAATATGTTCTGTATTATATTGTATTTGACCATTTGTTCTTGGATTTAAAAATGGTGTCATCAAATAATCCTGAAAAAATAATTTCTTATAAATATTTATTCTTTTTGCCGGTGGTGATGAGCTTAGTGCAGAGTGGAAGGAGATATTCAAAAAATTAACTTTAATTCCAATTAAATATTTTGTTTAGTTTGTTTTAATTTTGGAAAAAATAAACTTTAAGTCAGATTAAATATTTTGTTTAATTTCTTACCGTTAAACGGTATCCACTATCTCGTAACAAAAGACAGTTTGGATATCTTCCCATTTTAAAATTCAACGATATCTGACTATTCTGAAATATAGCAGAATCATGTGTGGATCCAGGCCAACGTGCAACAATATTCAATATTTTTAGATCAGGGCCTGCTACAGTTTGCACATTTATTGAAAAATATCCTTTTCTATTACGGAATAATTCAGCATCATTTCCTCCTAAAAAATAAAACAAAATGTTCCATTAGAACTATAAAGGTATAATATCGCACCCTGAAAATAAAAGTGACACTAAACGAAATCTCTGGATTTTGTGTATTTACTGCCATCTAGTAGCATTCATCATAAACTCTGCATGCGAGACAGCTCGTTTTTTTGTTACATCAGTTACCGCTAGATGGCGCAAAAATGTCATCTTGCATTCCAACCTGTACAGTGATCCCGTATGATGTAATAATGACACTAAGTTAGTAGTGTCTGATTCTCCAGAGTGGAACCACGTGAAGTCTGCATTGCAAAGTGACATTATTTGTTTAGTGTCGTTTTGAAGTAACTGATCCGAGTGGAACTACACAACGTCTGCGTTGCAAAGTGACAATATTTGTTTAGTGTCATTTGGAAGTACTGATTCGAGTGGAACTACACAACGTCTGCGTTGCAAAGTGACATTATTTGTTTAGTGTCGTTTTGAAGTAACTAATCAGAGCAAACCTAACAGGAGCCACATTGAAGAAATGACAGAATTGTTTTAGTGTCATATACTAGTAATTCATCGGTGAGTAACAATTATTTCTTAACGTTCCTTTTTTTTTAAGGTCACTTATCCATTAATGAATTTTGAAGATATACAAGCATGATTTATTGTAAATTGACATATTAAATTTAATGTCATTTTTTTTTCAATTCTAGTTACTTTAAAGTAAAAATTGATTAAAATTTTTGGTATGGTGTCATTTCTTACTATTTAAAAATTTGTTCGACACCTACATGTCGTGAAACGTCTATTGACATTGATGTCAATAGACGTCTATCAAACGTCTTGAGAATTGTGCTGTCTAAATTAGCCTTTAGGTACTTGCCTCCTGGCCCTGAATAACTGTCAGGCTCATAGGCCCTGAATAACTTTTGTTATTCAGGGCCTATGCTACCACTAGCCCCATATGAGGCACCTGCCTCGGGGCCGCATTTTAATGAGGCCTGGAAAGATCACTACAAAAAAAATTATTGCAATAAAAATATTGCAATATTATAATAACGATATCGATGTTGATCATTTAGTTAAAAAGTGGCAAATTTTAAATAACTTTGAAGCACATCTAATATCTTACAAAATCCGCAAAGCATGATGACCTTTTTTATTGGAAATAACATCATAATATCGACGTTTACAAATGTAGAAATGTTGCTTAAAATTTATTTAACTATACCCTTTAGCAAAGTATGTTTAAAAATTTATATTTAAACAATTAAACAATGTTTAATTGTTTAAATATAAATTTTATTTACTCTTAATAAAAATTTAAATTTCTGGTGCAACTATATTTATATTATTATTAAATTGTATTTAGCGGCCCAAAAATTGTGTAGCGCCTCAGGCCTGATTTGAAGTAAAACAGGCTCTGTTGTTATTTCATTATGTCTAATTGCTTTCCCTTTTTTTCAGATTTTGTAAAGAGCAATCATTTCTGATTAGCAATGCGACGACACAGGAACGACGACGCAAATCTACGATGCAGGATTGAGAAAATTTTGGAATTATGCAAAGGCGAAGTCATACCACAAAATAAAATTAGTCAACCCATATTACCAAATTATGCAACAAGTGTACCACCATCAGCGATTACAGAAACAAATCAAGAAACACAAGCATCACATTTAAATCCTTCATCAAATCAGGAGAAAATAACTGGAAATGACGGCGAAGATTTACCTCCGGATGATGACAAAGCATATTGTCCAGAAGATTGTGTACCAGAGACTATACATACAGAATTGCAAACTCGAATTCAACGAACACATTCAAAGTCACCATCAATTCTGAATCAAATAATTGATAACAACAGCGAAAATATACCTCCAAATGACAAGACATGTTATCAGGAAGACAGCGTACCAAAGACTATGGAACCTCCAAATAATGAGAAGACATATTTAGAAGAAAGCCTACCAGTGACTGTAAAAACAGGACTGAAGACACAAGATCAAGTATTACAATCAAAATCGCCAAATCAGGATAAAGTAATTGAGAATAATGGAGATTATTCTCAAGCTTCTCATGATGACAAGAAGAATTGTCCGCCTAAGAACAAGATGCGATCGCTATCTTCGTCTTCGGATTCCTCGTCGTCGGATACCTCATCTTCAAAATCATCATCTAGCTCTTCGTCTTCTTTAACTTCTGATAATAATGAGGAAAATCAGCCCAATGTAGTAGATACCGAAGCACAAGCGACGAAAATTTCAAAATCAGCTAAAAGCCCAAAACACAGAAAGATCCCAAAAAATCTTCGTAATGCTGGACAGCTGTACACATCTACAACTTCGACAAATAAGGATATGCCTGCAAGAAAAATGCTGACCTCATGTGAAAATCTCTGTCGCCTGGAATGTAGCAAACAAATTCCTCAGAGATCAAATTCACCATCGACAAGTCAATTAATTGATAACAACACCAAAGATTTACCTCTAAATGACGACAAGACGTATTATCTAGAGAAAAGTGTACCAGATACTATAGAAACAGGACTGAAGCCACAAATTCAAGAATTACACTCCAATTCGCCATCAAATACGGATACAGTAATTGAAAATAATGAAGAAGAAAGTAATGGAGATTTTTCTCCAGCTTCCGATGACGACAAGGAGTATTGTCCGCCTAAAAAAAAAGAGGCGGTCGCTATCATCTTCATCTTCGGATTCCTCGTCTTCAAGTTCATCATCTTGTACTTCTTCGTCCTCTTGAACTACTGATAATAATGTCGAAAATCAGCCCAACGTACTAAACTCCGAAGCACAAGCGACACCAATTTCAAAATCATCTAAAAGACGTATTCGCCGACAAAATATCAGAAAGATCGCACAAAATCTCCGTAATGCTGGACAAGCATACACGTCCACATCTTCGACAAAGAAAGAAATGCCCGACAGGAAAATGCTGCCTCCATGTGGAAATCACTGTCGCCTAAAGTGCAGGGAAAAAATACCAGAAGATGTTCGTCAAACAATTTTCGAACCATATTGGGGTATGGGATCCCTGATTCGTCAGAGGGAATTTTTAGCTAGAAGTATGATGGTTATAACCCCCAAATACCAGTATAAGAAAATTGACAGCAACCGAAAGCCGAAACACGTGTTTTATCTGCAAACTCAAGAAGAACGATTGAAAGTGTGCAAAACGTTTTTTAAAAATACACTCTCTATTAACGACAGACCCATTCGCACTGCTCTCTCAAAGCTTGATCATTCCGGTGTGATAGAAGATGAAAAACGTGGCTTGCACGGAAGACCACAAATTCATCCCGAACTTATTTTAGCAGTGGAAAAGCATATCAATAGTATACCGAGAATAGAAAGCCACTATTTGAGGCAGCAAACAAAAAGAAAATTCATTGATGGTGGCAAAAGTTTAATGAACCTTTACAGAGATTACAAAGAAGAATCTGAAAGAAATAACATACAATTTGTCAAAGAATATGCTTATAGGAGGATATTCAATACTAAGTTTAATATAGGATTTTTCGTACCAAAGAAAGATCAATGTGATCTCTGTTCATCTTACAATCTGGCCCAAGGAATAGCCAAAGATGAAATGAAAGACAAATACGAGAATCATCTCCGAGAAAAAGAAAAAAGCAGTGAAGAGAAGAATGCTGACAAAGAGAAGATAAGTAATGATGTAGTAGTAGCTTGCTATGATCTACAAGCAGTGTTACCCTGTCCTAGGGGAGACATATCCATATTTTATTATAAAAGTAAAATAAACTCACTTAATTTTACTATAACGGAACTGAAAAATGGCTCAACAGAATGTTATTTCTGGAACGAAACAGAAGCACAGAGAGGACCAAACGAAATCGGCACATGTGTTTATAAATATTTGCAGAAAAAAATGAAAACACGCAATCTCGTAACTTGGACGTCATTTTTTATTCCGACAACTGTGGAGGACAACAAAAAAATCAATTCGTTGTTGCCATGTACATGTACGCAGTGAAAAATCTGAGTAATATTAAATCCATCACTCATAAATTTCTTATACGTGGGCATACCCAGAACGAGGGCGACTCAGTACACTCATTAATTGAATAAGAAATAAAAAGAAATCTTAAGAGTGGCCCTATTTACGTACCATCCCAATGGTACGTAATGGCAATCAGAAATGCAAAAAAGGGAACGCCATACAAAGTAAACGAAATGGCATATTCTGATTTTTATAACATTAAACAACTCGTTGGCCAAATAAACTTGACTAAAAATATTAATGGTGAAACTGTCAAATTTGCCGATATCAAGGTGATTAAAATCCATAAAAATGATGAAGGTGACCTAACAGTCCTGTACAAATCATCTTATTTCGATGTGTACAAGGAAATACGATACACTAAACTGCAAACGCGACAGAACAGTGTGTCATCGCAATGCCTTCAATCTTTATACAGCAAGAGACTACTCTTAACTGACAGAAAAAAAAATTACATCAAGTCTTTGATTCAACAAAATCTCATTCCACAATTTTATGTCAATTCTTTTTATGGTAATATTTTGTAAAATTGTTGAGTAGGTACCTAGTATTAAAACCAAAGTTCATAAAAAAGAAAAAAATCAAAATAATACAGACGAAAATGTGATTACCTACTAAAAAAGTGCCTATTGTTTGAGTTTTTTATTTTTAGGAATGTTTTCTTTTTTTTTTAGATAAGACTAAGATAATAATAAAACATAAACAACCTTTTCTCTCTTTTATTTGTAATTACACATTGAAAAATGACATAATCAGTAAAGTTTCAAATTTTATTACAATTTATAAGTGACACTATGCTAAATAAATCTTTAATGATTTTTTTAGGCAACAATTTTAATCTGTATGTTGATAATATATTCAGCATTCTCAAGTACAATAAATAAATATGAGCACATAAAAAATCAATTTGTTTTAAATTACCTGTCCAGAGATATAATTCGTTCATTATTTGAAAATTTTATAAATGATCGTAGTGAAAATTTTACTTTTTTGCATAGTGTCACTTTTATTCTCGGAGTGCGATATATTGTTTGATTTTTCTTTGGAATGTTACATTTATTATTTTTGTGTATATACAGGATGCAACAGATTAATTTTATGAGTGTTTCTACACCTATGGTACTTTTAAGCAATTGGTACATACATCCTACATGAATTATTTAACAAATATATAGGTTAGAAATTTACCTGGAGATTGTATTTTTACATGAGTACAATCAATTGTGCGCACAACATTGGGAAATCCACCTATTTCATAAAATTGTTGTTTGATTATATCTCTTTCTTCATTTCTTTCTGGAAATTTGATATAATGTGGAGACAAATCTATTATGGCATTTACTACTCGTTTCAATATTCTTGAAATTGTATTTTGACTTACTCCAAGATAGTCTCCCATTTCAATTTGATGACTACCTGTAGCCAAGAAACATAGGGTCAACAACAACTGGTTCATGGGTGATACTGAAGCATTTCTAAAATATATATATATATATATATATATATATATATATATATATATATATATATATATATATATATATATAATTATTACTCAAACGCAAAAATATGTGAAATATATTTACTTGTCATCATGAAATTCAAGCTGATTTTCAATTTGTTGTAAAATCAACAATGCTGTAGTTTTTTTAATTCTAAAACGTCGAAAAAAATCCAGATTATCGTATTCTTCGAATAAATTTTTTCGCCGTTTTAGAATTCGCGGACGTCTTTCATCCTCTCATCCAAATTGTTCAACATTTCTAACAATTCAATTACTTCCATAATAAAATAAAAACAATGATTATACTGTATAATTGAATTATAATAATTTATACACTACACTAGTGTTGGAGAAAAAGTAACTATTCGTTACAAAGTATTCGTTACTTCAGAGTAACCGAAGTAACGAATACATATCTTCAAACCAAATCGTTACTTTGATTACTTATGTACCGATTACCGACTGACTACCGATACCGAAATAACGCATGAGTAACGAGTACGGCTATGGCTGACTGAAGCGTCTACTGCTCAGAATTATTTCGGAGGTACAATACCGACTACCGATGTACCGACTACCGATACCGATATGCCGATGCGATGCCGATACATACGCAGGCATATGAATAACGAGAGTAGGTATAGGAGTAAGAAAGGATTACGGCTGGAGCAGCGTCTAATATTCAAATGTTTTGTTGTGATATTGGATGTGATTATGAACCAATGGAAAAGAAATATATGCGTATAATAAAAATATTTATTTTATTTATTTAAAAATGAAGTTATTTACGTATATTTTTTTATGTGTAAAAGATTAATTGTAAAAAAATAAGCTGCGATTGTCATTTCTTTAAAACAGATCTTACACGCCCCAAAGGTATCTAGTTTTGCTTTTAAAAAATATTTTCCAATTTTCAGATGTTAAAATTAATAAATAATAAATCAGATATATTTTTTACGCGTTAAAACGTATTTTTTTGTATTAATACCCATCTCTGAATGAAATCATACGTATCGCTGATAATGTAGCAGCTTCGAAAAAAAGAAAAATTCGGCAACAGCGTTCGAGTTATTCAATCTGATAATCAGTTCGGGGAAACACAGGATAATACAGAATTCGTTGTAGTATTAACAGACTATTGTTCTAATTCTAATTAGTACGTTTCATTGTCATACTAGTGCAAGAGTAACATAAATGTAATATATGTGGAGGGCAATATTCGTATAAAGGAGGCTCAACACCAAATTTAAAAAAACACCTTCAGTCAAAATAGCACACATTTCTAAATAAAAATGTTAAATTAGTTCAGAGCTTGCCTTCAACGTCAAGAGGAAATGCAGGTATACTATTATTTGCTAGTAATATACTTTAAGAATTAAATAGTTTTCTAAATTTTAGGAGCAAATAATCGAGATATTGAGAGCTTGCCTTCAATTTCAAGAGGAAATGCAGGTATACTTGTTAAAACTTTAGACTTAAATATTAAAACTTTCGAGCAACCTCGTATACTGCACCTTTAGTTAAGTTCATTTTACACCCCTCGAGAGGGGATGCCGGTGGTGACCAGAGGAGAAGGGAAACACAGACAGTCACAGTCCACGCTCAACTCGAGTCGCAACAACATCATTACGCCAAGGACGCTATTTTTGCATTGATCGTTTACAAATATTTTAAATGTGCTATTTTTTACTTCAATACAGTTTTAGTTTAAGTGATTTGTTTTTTTTTATATGTTTACGTGAAATTCTAATAAGATTTAACCTACATCCTACACATAAGTGGTCCTTCGAGCCGGATATTATCCAGTGATCAAGACTATTTTGCTGTTCATTCCATGTAAGCTGAATTCATTTTCGACGAATTTGCCGTCCCTTATACACAGTTTAGCAACGGAAGAATTCAGATAATCTGTCACCAAGGTTAGTGCATTTATAATTTCTTTACCTACTTCATCCTTTACGGTCGTTAAAAGGGTACATTTGTATTTGATTTAATTCAGTGGAAATATTTACTTTTAAAAGCAGGTATTTTAATGCTTCAACACATTTAGAGATTTTAATATTTTCATTTATACATTAATACATAGTAGCGTCCTTAAATTTATTTCAATTTTTTCATTTTACATTTATAAATTATTACAAGTTGAAATATTATCTTTTTTAGTTTTTTATTCACTAGCAAAGCATTTTTACACACATTACATAATTGATTTTAATTGTTTTTTGCATATACATACATACATTTTTACTTTTGTGAATATCTAAGTTATATTGTTACTATGGCTGACATCGCTACAGCAAAAACTAAACGCTCTTCAATCAAAGGTTCTGTAACCCGTTTTAGTACGTATTTTAATTCTATCAAAAACAAACCTTTAGAACAAATTAACTTTAGGGATTTACAACTTAGACTTGATAGAATTGAGAAACTTTTTGACGATATTGACAACGCTCAATCACTTATTGAGGCCTCTGATGAGGACTACACTGCCAACGCAGTTTTTCCATATTACTAGCGCTGTGCGAGATTTTATTGACACCAATTTTTCAAAACCCTGTAGTCAGGCTGCTCAAGCTTCAAATTCGACAATTTCGCCCGAAAATAGTTTACAAAGATCTCTTAATATTAGGTTACCCGCTATTAACTTGCCCTCCTTTGAGGGTGACTATGAAAATTGGTTGTTTTTTAGGGATACATTTAATTCTATCATTCATACCAACAAAGAACTTTCCAATATTCAGAAATTCCACTATCTAAGATTATCTTTACAAGGTATTGCCGCAGAAACAATACGTAACCTGGACATTTCTGAGGCAACATATGAAACTGCGTGGGAATTACTAAAAGACAGATTCGAAAACAAATCTCTGCTTGTCAATAATAACATTAAAAAATTATTTAACCTACCAAATGTTTCAAAAAATTCACATCATGATTTACGCACTTTACTGGATGGTTTCCAAAGACATTTACGCTCTCTTGAGTCCTTAAACTTAGATACAACATCTTGGGATGCCCTTATTATATATTTAATTACCACAAAACTAGACAATGCCACACACAAAGAATGGGAACTGTCAATTAAAGACGATAAGAACACATTACCCACTTTGAGTAGCTTAACTGAATTTTTAAAAGGTAAATGTAGAGTCTTAGAATCTATTAATCATCAAGAAGAAAAATCTCGTCCCAAATTTTCATCTACAGGCAATCCCAAATCCAAGAATTTCTTGTCAACGAATAATTCTTCCAACTGTTCTTTATGCAAACAAAAACATCTAATTTACACTTGTCCAGATTTTCTCAAATTAGAAACGTCATTAAGACATAATGGAGCAAAACGCTTGCAACTTTGCATAAATTGTCTTCGTAGTGGTCATTTCACTAAGGAATGCAAATCTTCCGGGTGTCGTAAATGTGGAAAAATACACCACACACTTTTACACTTTCAAGGTAACTCACAAAAGCTTACTGAAATCAGTAATCAAACCATCAGCAGTTTACCTTGCTCAAGTCCAGGTACATCAGAAGGGTCTAATGCACTGACAGCACGTAACATTTCGTTTGAGCACAACTCTACTACTTTGCTGTCAACAGTAAAAATTAAAGTCTTTAACATCTCAGGTAATGAACACGAGGCTCGTGCACTTCTAGATAATGGCTCTGAAAGTAATTTCATTTCCCAGCGCCTATTAAATCTTCTAAGGTTGCCTACAACCAAAACGCATTTTTCTATTTCTGGTATAAACCAAACAAATTCTATTGTAAGCTACAGAACATCGGTCAAATTTAAGTCCAAAACTTTAAACTTTTCTCAAGTAATTTCTTGCTTAGTGCTTCCTGAAATTGCAATTTCATTTTACACCCCTCGAGAGGGGATGCCGGGGGTGACCAGAGGAGAAGGGAAACACAGACAGTCACAGTCCACGCTCAACTCGAGTCGCAACAACATCATTACGCCAAGGACGCTATTTTTACATTAATCGTTTACAAATATTTTAAATGTGCTATTTTTTACTTCAATACAGTTTTAGTTTAAGTGATTTGTTTTTTTTTATATGTTTACGTGAAATTCTAATAAGATTTAACCTACATCCTACAAAATACTATTATTTACTATTTAGTATTGTGCTTTAAGGATTAAATGTTTTTCTAAATTTTAGGAGCAAATAATCGAGATATTGAGAGCTTGCCTTCAACTTCAAGAGGAAATGCAGGTAGGATACTATTATTTACTATTTAGTATTATGCTTTAAGAATTAAATGTTTTTTTAAATTTTACCAGCAAATAATCGAGAAATGGAGTGCCAAGAAGAACAACCACAATCGGCAAGTTCGGAATGTGTCACAGCAACAGCACAAAGTTCAACTGCAAAGAATCTAAAACGTAAGTTTCAAACTACTATAGCTAGCCATCTAATAAAACCGATTACCTTATTAAAAAAGCAGAAAATTAACGATTTAATTATAAACATGATTGTAAAAGATTTACAACCCATGTCCATAGTTGACGATACAGGGTTTAAAGAATTAATTATGGGCCTAGAGTCTTCCTATTGTATGCCTAGTCGGTTTATCATAACAAATTCCTTCCTACCTCAAAAATATGACCAAAAAAAGGAAAAATTAAAAGCGTTGCTTACGAAAACCAATGCCATTACTCTTACAACTGACTCCTGGACGGCTCAACATTCCCATACCAGTTACATAGGTTACACCGCTCATTTTATTACTGATGAATGGATTTTATATTCATGCCTACTTAGGATTCATCAGTATGATGAAAGTCATACTGCTGAACATTTAAAAGAAGAACTGATTAATGTTGTTAATGAGTGGGAAATTTTTAATAAAGTATTTGCTGTCACCTCCGATAATGCACCAAACGTAAAGGCAGCAATTAGGTTAACCGACTGGGGACACATAATCTGTTTTGCTCATAATATTAACTTGGTTGTTCAGAGTGGACTTGCACTCTCTAATATCGCTCCACTAAGAAAAAAAGTAAAAACTATAGTTGAATATTTTCATCGGAGCACAAAGGCCAATAATAAATTAATGGATTTGCAAAAACAAATTAATGTAGGTCAACCCCCTTTAAAATTAAAAAATGATACAGTAACTAGGTGGAACTCTACATTTTTTATGTTTGAAAGGTTTTTGAAAATTCAAGAACCACTTAATGCGACTATGGGAGTTTTGCAAATTGAGATAGAACTTCTTACAGAATCGGAGTGGTTACAATTAAAAGAGGTTTGTCAAGTATTAAAACCATTTGAACATATAACTACCGAAATGAGTGCGGAGAAAAATGTTATTTTATCAAAAGTAATAATTGTTGTAAAGGGTTTGCAATCTGCAATTAATAAAATTAAACAAAATGTTAGCACTAGAAATGCTACTGAGCTCATAAAACATTATGAACAAGAAATTGTTACGAGATTTGGTTCTGTTGAATCAAATAGTTTAATGGCAAAGTGCGCTTTATTGGACCCGAGGTTTAAAGCAAAGGTTTTTACTTCACAAACAAATCTTACAGCTGCAAGGGAACGTTTAGAAAGTGAAGTAGCCAAGTCAATAAGTATAGATCAAGCAGCAAAATTGGCCCATAATAATATTGACATGGAAGAACAACATCCACAGGTCGAACAAGAGGAAAACTTAATCTGGAAAGATTTTGATAAATTTGTTCAAACACCCAAACTGGGTGTTTGAACAAATTTCTGGCTAAGAAATATTTATGTATTATGTCCACGTCCGTTCCATCAGAACGAGTGTTTTCTAAAGCCGGGATATTAATATCTGAAAGAAGGAATCGGTTGAAAGGCAAAAATGTGGAAATGATTATGTTTTTGCATTGCAATCAACAGCTATAGTAGTTTTAAATAACGTGTTAGAGTACAGAATGTATTTGTATTTTTTTTTTTACAGTTTTGTATTTATTATTTTGTTTATTGTTTTGTTATTATTATTGTTTGAGTTAACATATTTCTTTATTAAATTTTTTATATTGAGCTGAAATTTATTATTTAAATTTAAATAAAATTTTATTGTATCCAAATAATCCAATTTCAAAAATGTACCACATCAATATGAAGTTCTAAATAGCTCCCATTAAATATGATTACCCGAAGTAATCAGAGTAATCAAAGTAACGAATACTTTATATGATTACTCGATACAAAAGTAACGATTTGTAACGAGTACCCAAAAGTAACGAAATTCTCCATCACTACACTACACAACAAACTTTTAGGTAATATGAATAACTGTCAAATAGTTGGTAAAGAAACGCCTAAACTGTTAGGAAGCGAAATATCGGTAGCCTAAATGTTAGGAAATTCTTAACGATATATTAAGAGATTCTTAAGGGTTGGTGAATACCAAATTAGTATTAGGTGATACTTATCCTCTCTTAGGAAACGCTTAAATTTTAAAAATTGTTGGTGAATACGGCTGTAGATGCTCTAACAACAATTGTGGTAGATGTATAAAATAACTTTTAACTAAAATAACTAGAAACAACTATTTAACAGGACTATTCTTGGATATTGAGGGAGCATACGACTCAGTTTGCTTGTCAACTTTAAGAAAAAAAAAAAAAGGTTAATTTATTTCACATGCCAATTGCATTCGTGGATAAGGTAACTGACCCTATAATTGACACTGTCCGTATATTTGACAGGTTTTATCAATAAAGCTAAAAATTAAGAAAATAGATCCGCAATTCAGTAGATTTGTGGTAGTAACGCCATCTTTCATTTGTTCTAAAATCAATCACCCCGACTTTCTTACTCAGTTGGTAAAAAACGCGCCAAAACAACAGTTGTAATGTGCATGCACACGGTGCAATAGCGTCTCTTGTGTTTTGATGTGGTGAATAAATTAAGGTGAGTGAAAATCAAGTTACTTTTCAAATGTATTCTACAATGTTGCTACTGTTGCAAGGAAGGTTTTGTTGCTTGATATAACATTTATAGAGTCTAAAAATCAATTTTTCATTAAAAATGCTCTAAAATTTCCAATATGTCAGCTATTTTTTAGGGTATCAAATTTTAGGACATCTTCTGGTAAAGTGCTATAAATTTGAATGTAGGTGTCAAATTTAGGGACACCCAACTATTAATATCATATGTTCGTTTTCTGTATCCATCTCACAGAAATTGCGTATAGTTATCCTTTTTTGGTATATTTCATTACCAATGTTTTAAAAACCTAAATCTGACACCCCAGTCAAATTTAAGATCAAGGGGTGTCAAAAATAGGTACACGAAAGTTGCTTTATGAAAAATTGAATTAATTTAGCATTATTTTGTTAATAAGTAAGGATAACTAAGATAACTCTTATTTGTAGATGCTTAACAAGGGAAATATTTATAGAAAATATTCTCAGGAGGATCTGAGTAGAGCTGTAGAAGCCTGTAAAAATGGAATGTCTTGTGCTTCAGCAGCTAAAAAATTTAATGTGCCACGTATCTCTTTGATGTACAAAGTGTCAGGAAAATTTCCTATGGGATGCAAAAGTGGAGTAAGCACTGTAATAACTGAAGGCGAAGAAAGTCTTTTAAAGGATTGGATAATAAATGTTGCTAAAACCGGTTTTCCCGTAACAAAAGACCAACTATTAGACAGTGTTGCCTTGCTTGTGAAGAGGTTGAAGAGGCCTAATAATTTTACAAATGGTAGACCTAGTAGACATTGGTTTGAAGGATTTTTGCAGCGACATCCGGAATTAAGTCAACGAATGACCCAAAACCTAAAGGTCTGCTGTCTCGGAAACAAATATCCGAAAGTGGTTTGAGGAAATCAATGAATATTTTGTTGCAAATAACATTGAAATCACCAATCCCAGACAAATATTTAACGCTGATGAAACAGCCTTTTTCTTGTCGCCAAAGGGCAAAAAGTTCTTACTAAAAAATGATCAAAAATAGTATAGAGCTATTCAAATGCAAATGACAAGGAATGTATCACTACACTAATAACAGGTAAAGTATCTTAAATAATAGGTAACACTTTTCTCTACTAAATTTTCATGTTTTTTAGGCAATGCTGCAGGTGAAGTAGCTCCGCCGATGACAATGCTTAGCTATGAACGGATCCCTAAGAATATAATATTAAAGTGCCCACAACCCGACTGGGCAATAGGACGCTCGGACTCTGGCTGGATGACAGCTGAGAGTTTCTTTGAATTCATTTCCAATAATTTTTACAACTGGTTGTTAAAAAATGACGTCCCATTTCCAGTTGTTCTATTTGTTGATGGGCATAAGTCCCACTTAACCTACAATTTAAGTGCCTTTTGTTCCGAAAAGAATATCATACTGATAAGTCTTCTGTCTAACGCCACTCACATTTTACAACCTATGGATGTGGGCGTTTTTCATCCATTAAAAAGTGGGTGGCAAAATGAAGTTCATGCTTGGAGACTAGAAAATAAAAAACAAACCCTTAAAAAAGAAGATTTTGCGCCAATGCTTAATAAAGTTTTGCAGAAAGTTCTTGGCTCTGGACAAGAGAAAATACTGAAAAATGCGTTTAGGAAATGTGGATTATATCCATTCGACGTTAATAGTGTCGATTTCTCAAAAGTGTTGAGAAATGAAATTGCATCAACTCTCTCAGATGTACAAGATACATGCCACTTGAAATCAAATAAAGTTGTTAAAGATGATTTAATAGGTGCTTTAAGGGTCATAGAATCTTTTCTAGACAAAAATCTACTTGAGAGTTTTCGAGCTAAGGTGAAATTGGCTAAATGGAATGGAAAAGTAGAAGATACAAACTTATTTTTTCTTTGGAAGAATCTGAATGAAAAGGTACAAGCAAACAAGCACCCTGAAGGAGAGGTCTCGAAGGATATAATAATAGAGGTTGCACATGATGTTTTGTTGGAGGACATAAATTGGGAGGATGTAGATATTGAAACAGAGGAACAAGAAATTTTAGATAACGGAGAAAATGAAGCAGTCATCAAGGAAAGTGGAGAGGCAAATGTAACAACATTAGATGAAGAAGATACTATTATTTTAGATCCTAGTAAGAAAGGTGAAGAACAAGCACCACACTATGAGACTATCGTTAGTATAGATAGAGTGATAGAGGGAGAAGATGTAGTTTTGGAAAACGGTAGCAAATATGTGGAGCAAACGGATAATGAGAATGTAACCAAAATAATAGAAATAGTAGGAAACAAAAGAGAAGAAGAAACGATTTTCGAGGCTGATGGGAAAATTAAATGTAGCGAGCAACTAAGTGATGAGACAACTAAAGTAAGAGAAACAAATTGGAAAGAAAAAGAAAAGACAAATATAACTTTGGATAATAGTGAGAAATGTAGCGAGCAAGCAAGCGATGAAATAACAGTTAAGGGAGTTGAAACAATAGAGAAAGAAATCGTCAAAAATAACGATAAAGAAGAGATAGACGAAGCAAAGGAAAATAAGAACATGATTTTAAAGAATAATAAGGATGCTCTATTGATACCCTCACCTTTTGAATCTATTTTGTTTTGGCCAGATGGAAGTACAAACAAAAAATCAGGAAGAGTTGTCAAAGAAAAAGTTCCAAGTGTATGTTCCTCAGAACAGTGGAAAGAATATTATTTGAAAAAGGAAAACGAGAAGACTGAGAAAGAGAATGCAATTCTAGATAGAAAAAGAAAGCGAGAGGAGAAAAAACTTCAACTTCAAGAAGAAAAGGAGAAAAGATCAGTAAAGAAACTTTATAGACCTAGTGCAGTTGAATTTGTGAAGAAGAATATTTTTTTAAATGGAAAAAATACTGAAGATAATTCAGTCGGTGTCGAAAAGAAGGAAACTACTCCAAAATCTGAAATTAATGTGACCGACTACGTTATAGTTCGCTATGAGGGTGAAAAATTCCCGGGAAAGATCAAGAAAATTTCAAATTACAATGGTTTTTTTGTTAGTGCTATGGTGGCAAGTGGACTGAATTATTGGAAGTGGCCATCAGAGCCAGACGAACTTTGGTATTCTGCAGAAGACATTGTAGAAAAAATAAATATTCCAACACCAATAAATAATAGAGGTATTTATTCCATACCAGAAATCGGAAAATATTGTAGTTTCGTGACATAAAAAGATGGCTTTTCTCTACTTAGGTACCTATACTTACCTAAAATATGTAGATACCTAAGTATGTAGGTATCATTTGTACGTTGTTATTGAGAATAAAAATTTTATTTTCAGTAAAAAAAGTGTATATACTTATCACCTGACACAATTATTATTATCAATTTTATATTCCCTAAGTAAGTAAGTACTGAGACTTCTGACAATTAATTTTGAAAATTGTAAATGTATGTCAAATATAGATACAACCCACTGTCAACTTTTGGGACACTGTCAAAATTGAGTACAATTTCATGTCAAATTTATGAACAAAATCAAAATTTTGCTGTCAAATTTGGGGTCACTATTATAACCTAGTTCTAAACGGTTTTATGTCTTAAGGTGTCAATTATAGGGTCAATTACCTTACAATAATTGGATTTTACACACAGTTACAGGGCATTTTAAAAAATGTCTTAAAAATAGCTGAATTTGCCGATATGTGTGAACGTGATCGAATATGCACAATAATGTTCGACAAAATGAAATATGTTTACGACCAAGTAAAAGATTCTGTATTGCCACCCTACAGTTAGTGTCAGGTAGCAATGATTTCCGGATTATTCAAAGCATAGAAACGAC